GGGGAAGGGAGGTTCCGGCTCGACGGGGGGCTGTGGTTGTTGACGCGAGATCTCCTCGCGTCTTCTCCGCCTTTCACGGCGGAGTCTCTCCCTGACTCCTCCTCGACGTTGCTTCTTGTTTAGTCTTTTAGTTCGAGTGCGGTTGAGGTATTTTGAGGACTATATGGAAATGAACTTTAGATACAATCCAGAATTAATCGTAACGACGGAGCTAAGACTGATGGTTCACCTTAATTTGTTCCATGTTGGATCGACTACGCTGCCTTACGCTCGGGCCTCAAGCTGCTGCTTCGAATCGGTAGCCGGGGAAGCACCTACCAGATGCAGGTTGCCGTTCGGGAGCCTCGGTAGCTCACCAGGACTGACGAACCTGACGATCGGGTGCTTTTGGGGCTAACCAGTATTTAAGGCAGACACTGGGGGGCGTTGGGGCGGCCCTGTATCCAAGGAAAAGATTAAGTATGGTTTACTGACGCGTACCGTATATCAATTGACGGTAGTGACTATGATGATTGTTCGCGCTATACCACAACCGCACTTGGTAAATCCCCGTAAAGCGACTTCGATATACCGACTTCCGACGTCCGAGCGTTAATCGAGGATAAGGGGAGGCAAGTGGAAAAAAAACCGAATGAACAAAACAATTATTTAATGACTTACGTGTAGTTATGATTCGTTGTCTGCTGCGAACGACTGACTAACTGACTGACTGTACTGCTGCTGATTGTAACGGACTGACTGAACTCTTGTTGACTGTGACTGATGGCGACTGACTCTTGGGCCCGTGCGGCCCGTATATTAATGCGCGCTTATCGCCTCAGGATGCGCGATTGGCGCTGGCGCTGCGTGGGACCAGGCGCCCGACGCTTTTTTGTTGACACCGTATGCAACTGAATATCGTTGCGGATTAAGCATCTATGCAACCGTTGGGCGACGGATGGTAAAATATCGTATATTTGGTAAAATATCGTATAGCGGCTGGAGCGAGCTTATCGGGCACGTACAATTGGTCGTATATCTAATTGCCTAAATGCTTGAGCAGCGTCTTTGGTTCGTTGATCACGCATTACATATTGTGTTGCTCTATGTTATAAAGTGCTGATGATGTGTCAGCGTTTATAAAAGAATAAGCGCTGATGCGGCCTTATTATCCGCGTGGACTTAATGCATAACTGTCGTTCGCAGCGGACTTGGGATTTTACCCAAGTTGTAACATTAGTGTGCGTATATGCGAGAAAAAGAAAAAATATGGGTAGTGGGGAGGAGGTGGAACGTAATAATAATAACTATAATAATAACTATGATAACTATAATTACAATAACTATAATAAGACAAAAACACGCTATTCACTATAATTAATCACAATGTATGCACTAAAGTGTTTGTACGATCGAATCAAAAGTTGATCATTAAAAAACTATTGTTTTTTTAGGTTAGAACGACAAAAACAATGTATTTATTAAATTGATAAAACATTGTAAGCGCTTACACAGTAACTGATTTATTCACAAAATGTTCGCTACATATAAATTTTTTATCTGGACTATACAGCTATTTTTAACAGAATCGTTAAGGAAATAGAAATATATCGGCACATTACTTACCGTATTGCACTCGGATATTCGCTGCTAATAGACACACTTCACTTGACGCGCAATTGTTCCAAAATTTAAACAACAGATGTCGTGGCATCTAAAAGTCACTATCAACTGAAGTGCGCAACTTATACAAACCTTATTTCATCATTTTTTAAACAAAATGGTCAACTACTGGTACATGGTCAACTAGTGGTACTTTTACCTTACCGCTTTATCGAGGTTTTTCACGATCCAATCTTGAATTAACTTTAATTGTTTTAATCGTTTTTCCCACGCATCGCTGGTTGACGATACTATCTCCTCGGTCTTTGAGGAGGATTCGCGGTAACAATTAATCGGTCTAGGCTCTCTACCAAAGTTGAGAAAAGCGGGAGAGAATTTAGTAGAGCTATGATGTGCGGTATTATACGCGAAACGGAAATCGGTAAGGTGTCGGTCCCATTCTCGATGGTCCTTCCCTATGTATGATACTATCATAGTTTTCAACACTCTATTTACTCTTTCCACGGGATTGGCTTGTGGATGGTATGGTGGGGTAGTCGATTGGAGGATGCCAAATTGCTCCGCGAGATCGGAAATTTCCCGATTTTTAAATTCGGTTCCGTTGTCGGTAATTAATACGCGCGGTGCGCCCCATCGGCACAATATCAGGTCTTTTAACGCCTCTTTTACTTTTTCTTTACTTTTTTTCCGGTTGCGCTCCGTAAGGGGCAGCATTCAACCCATTTCGTGAATAAATTCTGGACCACCAGTACATACATGAAGCCGGAAAGACTTCGCGGAAACGGACCCATAATATCCGCGGCGATAATGTCCCACCACGGTTTCTCCGCGATACGATATCCCATCAAACCTGCCGGAGCCAGCTGTTCGACCTTGGTACGTTGGCAAACGGTACAGCGTCGCACATACTCCGCGATATCCTTATACATTCCGGGCCAATAATATCGTATGGCTACGCGATCATAGGTTTTTTCCACCCCTAAATGTCCGGCCTGAGGCTGATCATGTGCCTCGCGATAAATTTCGGGTCTTTGATCTTGCGGTATTACTAGTTTCCACTCGTCAAGATCTACTAGCTTCCATTCGTCAAGATCTACGGTAATATCGGAAATATCAGTATTGGGTCTCTTTACATATAACTGGTTGTCCAGAATTTTTCAATCCGGGAAACGGGACGGGAAGTTCTTTACGTCGGTAAATCTTCTTGAATACCAATCTGGGGTATCGATAAGTGCGGTAATGGTTTCGGCTCCTCCAACCGACTCCTCATATATTCGAGATAAAGCGTCGGGGACGCGATGTAACGCGCCTTGTCGGTAAATCACTTGAAAATCATACTCGAGAAGAGACAAGGCCCAGCGAGCTAGTCGACCGTTGGGATTTTTCATTGACCTTAGCCACCGGAGGCTATTATGGTCAGTAATGACCGTGAAACGATAACTTTCTAGGTAATGGCGGAATTTTTCTATTGACCAGACTATGGCTAAACACTCCAATTCGGTAGTGGTTCGGTAGTGGAATATTTTCTCTCGGTAAGCGACAATGAGCGGCTCGCATATGCTATTACGTGTTCCTGCTCGTCTATTTGTTGAGTAAGAACAGCGCCGACCCCTACAGTGTTTGCATCCGTTGCTAGCACAAATGGTTTTGTGAAATCGGGACAAGACAGTATCGCAGCGGTAGTTCAATATGTGCGGACGGAATCGAACGCTTTTTGCTGTGACTCCCCCCACTTCCACGTTGCATCCTTACGTAATAGTCGCGTTAGGGGCTCCGTTATTGTTGCGAAATGCGGAATAAAACGACGATACCATGAGCCCATTCCCAGAAATCTTCGTAATTGTTTAATGTTTTTCGGAACGGGATACTCCAACACCGGCGCTACTTTCTCGGGATCTATTCGGAGGCCTTCCTTACCGACAATAAAACCTAGGTAACGGACTTCGGAACGGCAAAATTCGCATTTTTCGGGATTAATTGTCAAGCCCGCGGTAGTAATTTTTCTGAAAACTATTCTTAACCAATGCAAATGTTCTTCAAATGTCTCCGTTACAATAATAATGTCGTCTAAATAAGCGAACGCGTGTGGTTGCATTTCAGGACCGATCAATTTGTCTAATAAGCGTTGGAAGGTGGCGGGGGCTCCCGTTAAACCGTACAGCATACGAACGAAATGGAAAAGTCCTTTTCCCGGTACTGTAAAAGCAGTGATTTCCCTACTGCTCTTTTCTAACGGAATCTGGAAATATGCTTGACTCAAATCTAGAGTGGACAAGTAATGCGCGGCTCGTAATTTATCTAATATTCCTGTCATATTCAGTAAGGGATACGCATATTTTTTAGAAACTTCATTTACTTTCCGAAAATCTAAACAAAACCGATATTTTCCCGTCGATTTCTTGACCATTACAATAGGACTAGATCATTCGCTATGCGATGGTTCGATAATTCCGTCTTCTAACATTTTATCTACTTCGGTATAAATGGCTTGTTGTACAACCGGCGAGACGAGATAGTTTCGTTGTTTAATCGCCCTGCTATTCCCTACGTCAATCCGATGTTCCGTTAGTGTGGTGCACGAAGGTCGAAGAGGGGGTGGAGGCAATTCGGTATTTAAAAATTGATCTAGTTCTTTTCGTTGTGCGGGAGTAATTTCGAAAATTCCTAAACACAACGGATCGGGATCGGAATGTTGCGCGTTGTTTTGTATATCGAACGAGAATAATAAATAAATTTAGGAAATCCATTCCTACGATACACGGGACGGCAAGATCGTTCAAAAGATAGATTTCGAGAGTGCGAGTTTGATCTTTAAGCGTAATCGTCGCGGTAATACTTGTATTTGTTTCCTCCACCTGACCCGTAGCGGTCATGATTCGGCACATTCGGGATGTCTGTTTCGGGAGATCGACCATCGATATAGCGGTATTTATCAAAAATGTTCGACTCGAACCGGAATCTAGTAGAGCGCGAAGGGATTTTTGCTGAACTTGCAGCTCGATAAAATACAAAAAATTAGCAGTGATATGCGCAAAAGCATTGTAGAAGTATTCTGGGGAATCGGAAATGGACGTCGGGGCTCGTTGGACGTTCTCGGGTGGAGTCGCGTGGGCCTCTAGCGGCGACTCCGTCTCGGGTTTCCCGCGCACCTGTCACGCGTCCCAACCGTCTCATACTTCTTCCCGCATCGATAGTGTTGGCAGATTTTACTTAAATGAAGCCACACGTGTTTTACTTTTATTATTTGAATAATATATTTTTACTATAAACCACTTATAAACTAAATATATATAAATGATATATAAACAATAATATATAAAATCAGAACTGAACAAGAAAGGGTATTACAGCGTGTTACCTCGTTACAAAACATCGGACGAATAGAACGCGTCGCTCTTACGAATATCTATATATATAAGACCCCTTTTACCTATATGCCATCTAGCGATACTAATAGAACACATTAACTGGCGCCAAAATACAAAATTTAGATTGCACATTCAACATCCCTTCTCAATCTAAATTCTCTTTATGCCTTTTCTTATTGTACTAACTTATCTCTAAATTTTACAAACTTAACACTACCTAGAGGTTTTGTAAATATATCCGCAATTTGTTCTTGAGTATTACAATATATTATCTTAATATTATTCTCTTTCACTTGTTCTTCTATAAACCGGTAACGCACATCTACGAGGTGTGACACAAAAGTAACGAGACTAGTCCAATAAATCATTGTACCTGCAGAATCAGTTCTCCGTGACATTATCACCTTCAAAGTAGTCCCCCTCAGCATTCACACACTTATGCATTCGGCGCTGCTATTGCTGGTAACAATTCTGGAACGAGGTTTTTGGAAGTCCTTTCGGACGATTCTCCGTTTTTGCCTGAACCTCTTCAACTGAGGTGAAATGGGTTCCCTTTAAGCAAAATTTAACTTTAGGAAATAAAAAAAAGTCGCATGAAGCCAAATCAGGCGAATAAGGAGGATTCCCTATCACAATAATAATTTTGCTGGTCAGAAACTGCTTGACAGAGAGTGCCGTGTGAGCGGGTGCTTTGTCCCGGAGCAACAGCCATCCATCGCTTCACAACTGTGGCCTTTTTTTCCTAATTTTTTCACGAAGTCTTTTTAGTATTTCAATGTAATAGT